AACGTTAGATTTGAGGAGCAACACAACACAAATGTAACTGTGACTATGAAAACACCTGCAAACTGTAACAGACAGGATACAACCTAAACTAACTCCGTTCAAGAAAAGTCTGGAAGCTTTCTGGCTTACACTTGCTCAAAGTAGCTTTTAACAGCTCAAATAATATAGATACCATTTATTGTCTTCTATGTCTCTGGCCTTCTAAAAGAACTTCATAAATCCTTTTAATTATTCCTGCAGGGTCTGTTTCAGGCCCACTCCCATGTATTCTATTACTGTAAAATGTAATACACAATGGTGACAGAGAGACAGCTTCTTTATTTAAATTTATTTTCTTAATTCCCTTCTTTTGATTAATAATCTTATACCCTTTAACCTTTTCTTTCAATGCACAGATTTTGTTTTGTATTGGTAATTGGCAGAGTATGTTCTACCTAAATGCTTCCCTAAACAAGAATCAAATTGATGTTAATCTGCTGCCATAGGTAAGGGAATAAAAAAGGGGGATGATACAGGCCTTTAAATTTAGCAATATGATAATGCTGAACAAATATTCCAACAAAACCAACTGCTATTTATTTTGCATATTTATGAACAACTTTCATTCCCCACATTATTAGCCTGAAATTCACTAAAACAAGTATGAAGGGGCCTTAACATTATACGTAGTTCTTTGCAAAAAGTAAGATCTCCTGTTTTAGCATCTGAGAAAGTGGACTGGTTTATGCATCTAATATGTAAAGAGTCTTTATTCTAATATACACAGAATGGAATTACATCTCGCTTGTATTAGTACTGTTACGTAGCCATTTTGAGTTTCCTATGTATTCATCAAGCAGCTCGTTTTGTACTATTCCTAATGCTAGTTATCAGCAGTTATGTGGTATTGCAGAGCCTTAACTATGACCAAAAAGCCAAATTTTCTTTGCTTAGACACAATGCTATGCAGCACCATTCCATAAAGCGAGTCTTTTATGTGTCAACATTCATAGTATTAATATTGTTGAAATAATACTCATTCATTGAGCAAATGAGGTGAACTACTCATTCCCAAAAACGTGCATCTCCACCTTTAGTAAGGGGTTTGACATGACACTAAGCTGTGACCATTGCTATATATGTGAATTAAAACTGGCATTTGTAAAATAAGAACCAAAGGCGTCTTGACAGAGAGGCGTAAGAAGTAGTTGCATACTATGAGCAAAATGAAGTATTAATCAGTTACATAAGCAGCAAATTTTTCATCCTAAAACTTTATACAGAAGTACCTGAGCTTCTTTGTATAGCTATGAAACAAAAATCAAGCACTGAGCCACTTCATTTACATTATGCTGCAAGAGCTTTCCAAGAAAACAAAGATTCTATCAGAAACAGTCATATCTAAAACCATATGTCAGTCTACGGCTAAAAGAACAGGGACAAAACAGAAGATCAATCTACAACAGGAATTTGAAGGAAACTAAATGTAGTGAAAACCGGTGCCAGGGCTGTCTGAAAAATTTGTACTTTCTGCTTTTGCAATATAAAGAATACCTGTTTTAACTCAAAGAAATTTATTAAATAAAAATACGCTTGCCTTTAGTGGTACTGCCTTTTTTATTCAACAGAGCACCAACTGACCACAGGATCTGCTTACGCTAAGACATTTGTCACAACTCTATGAGTTACCTCTTTCTCAGTCAACTATGGCCTTTTCAGTACAGGAAAATGGGAGTATCAGTTACAGCTTCCCAATTCTGAGACACAGTCTGCACAAGACTTCTGATGACACTAGCTCTACTATGCCCTCAAGTTGTATCCACCATTGAGAAGCCACCACCACCAAATTGGAATTCTGCCCTTACTGAACACTAATTCACTTATTTAACAGTGAGATGACATCCTGAAATTACTTTTTGTTTCACTAGGAGACAGGGCAAAAAAAACCCCAACAACCCAAAAATGCAAAGCAAAAAATAAGACGTCTTAAGCATGGTCATTTTTCTTCACAACAGACTGCTGTCACAACTAATAAATTAACACTTTTGAACGGTTACTTGCTCAAAAAATACTAACAGAATTTTAAATAATTATCAGAATATGCCCAGATAAAGGCCTTAAAATTCATTATGATAGAGAGAATGACCTTCCAATGGTTCTCAAGAGATAAGCCTGAAAAGAGCAAGAGATAGACTAAAGTCCAAGGGGGAAGGGAGATGAGCTGAACCTACCAGTTTAAAAGGAACTTTCAGAAGCTGCAAGTTTATTTCTGAAAGAGAACAGTAGATTTCCATGTGTATTAAGGGGAAACAGACCCCACTTAGTGTCAGGCACAAACTTTTACCAAAAAGAAAAAAATAATGATACATTCTTGTATTCAAAACACAGTATAATTTATTAGTTCTTGATTCCTGCAATCATAATGTCTATTAATAAAAACCGGTGGCAGTAGGTAAGAGGACAGCAAAGAGACTGTTCTCCTTTACTCACTCCAGAGCGGATAGGAGGGAGAAAAGATGGTTACTTTTTTAAACAGGCAGTGGGATGTCAGTGACAAAGTGCTACAGAGAATAGGAGGGAGTTAAATATGCTAAAGATGAGTAGGGTGAAACATAAAGATTATAGATATAGTAAAATTAGAGATCTTTGACAAAGATGACAAATGAAAAGCTTTTATTTATCAGGGTCTTTCAAAAGACCCATCAAATTTTCTAGGCACAATTCCTAAACTATTTATAAATGCAAACTGTAAAACAGCACGCTTTCCAAAGATGCTACAATCCCACCAGACCATCCTGTCATTAAATCTTGATCTCCCTCTCCAGAAACACCCAAAGAAGTACGCTGTTCTTGCAGACCAGCTTGAAGATCAAAGCCAAGTTCTGGTTCTGAGGAACCAAATAGAAAATCACCTTCTTGAAGCAAGTATGCTTTGTTCACAGGAATATCACATCACTCCGCTCCACAGTAGAGAGATGTTGAACTAGAGCAACCAACTCTGTTTCCTACTCAAAATCAGCTACATTGCTTGATTGACAAATTAACAGAAAACCCAAAGAAATACACTAAAGCTTACCTCTGGCTTTGGAACAAAGGCTTGACCTGGAATTACGAAACAGTTTTCAACAGTGCAGAGATGCTGAGACATGATGGACAGTCTGCTACGTTGCTTACCTCCTGGATTAGCTGTAAGCCTCTATTGAAGAATCAAAACATGTAAATGAGTGAAACTCAATTGATCAAGTGGTTACATTAAAGCTTGAATTTCAGTATAATCAAAGACAAAGACAAATTAAAAAAAACCCAATTAATTGTTAAGTACTCATATCAAAGTTTATGCCCAGTTCTTCTAGATTTTTTTTCCTCTCCAATGTAGTAGCATTTCATTAAGATACCGTGCTAATTTACAACCTCAGTGCTGCAATTAAATGCACATGAAAAGGAGCTCCTTGAACTTCTGCAGAACTTATGAATGTCAGAAGAATTTTGTATGAGCACAAGGCAAAACTAAAACTATTCTGACTGCAGGATTCAAAACAAACATAACATCAGCTGAACAGTATTCTCGCACCCTTTCCTTTCACTGTTTCTCTACCAAATATTACTATTTTTTCTCCTTCAAGAAATAACAAAGCTCCATGAACTCAAAATTAGATAGAACCCAAAATTTCTTCATTATTAACTGGTCTACGCTTACAATATATGCAAGAAAGCTGGATCTATTTTACATAAATTTAGAATACCTAACAGTAAGAGCATTTAGTATGTAAAGCTCAATTTAGTAACTCTCTGATTTTCCCAATAAATTTCTTACAAAGATTATCAAAAAAGTAGCCTCGACAGAGGTTTTCTACACTTTCACAACTTGGCAAGAAATATGTTCTCTGTGTTTTGCTAGCAAAACCAAGATGTAAACACAAAAAGCACCCAGTAAAACAAGTATAAAACGGTAAAAGACCTTACACTAACTACGCAGAAACAGAATTTTAAAGATACTTAATTAAAAACAAAAGATGAAAACCAATTTGCCTAGCTGGTAGCAGCTGTACATCGGGTAGCTTCAGATGAAAAGCCTACTCATGAAATGCTGCCTTGCTTATTAAAACTATTCCTGAAAAATAAAATTAAACCTATTGCTGAAGTTTTAATTTTTTTTTAAATAACTCTCCTGAAAGGCAGTTTAAGTATCAGCATAGAGTAAATAAAATACTTTTCAACAACTTTTCAGGAAGAAAGCTCAGCGATTCTTTTTGCATACATCAGCATTTAAAACTACCTTCACTACCGTTTCAGAGGAAACCTTCTTAAAAAAAATTAAAATCTATCTGCCATCGGTACTATTCTCTGAAAAAAAAACAGGCTGCAAAGTCTAACAATGGAATCAGATATGCACTTCCTTAACCTCTACAGTGGAAATGAAACAGACCTAATGACAACGCTTGTAGTCCTTCCAATGCCAATTCAAACAAGCCAGTCTTTCCCTCCCGCAAAAACAACCTAACAAGTCTCAGGCAATTAGTTCCCACTTCTCAGCTACAGAAGGGCTAACTTAACAACTCCCACCGCTGGGAAGTAATATCTTAAGCCACTTCAACCACATCAG